GTCCTACCGGACCAACGAATTGGCCCGGCAACCGGGAGGACTTTAAAGTCCGAGCGCAGCCAGATCGGCGACGGTGTCCTTGTTGATCGAGACAAGCTGATCGACAATGATATTGCGGTTCGTGAAATCTGGATGAATGACACCAAGACCTTCAATGGTCTCGCCGTCTTTCAACTCCTGCCCTTTGATCAGACGAGCGGCCAGCGTAACAAAGACCTCGCCCGCCTGTTTTGGATTCCACATGAAGCCGCCAGAGATGGCACCGGATTTGATCAGCTTCTGACCCTGTCCCGGCGAGAACGGTCCGAGTACGAAAATTTCTCCAGTCTTGCGCCGTTCCTCAACTGCGCGTCCTGCGCCGATCGGCCCTTGGCTGCCGAAAGCCAAAAATCCCTTCAGATTCGGATGAGCGGAGATCAAGTCGAGAGCAGTGCTGCGGCTCTTGTCCACGTCTTCGGCAACGCCGTAGCGATCACCGACCAGTTTCATGTCCGGATAATTCTTCTTGAGATAGGCAATGGCTGCATCGGCCCATGCGTTGTGCAAAGGCACGGTCAGCGAGCCGACAAAGACTGCATATTCGCCTTTGCCACCAGTTTTCTTAGCGAGCAATTCAGCATGGGCTTCGCCGAAGCCAGTGGCAGAAGCCAGCTCAAAATCCCAGTTGGCGCCCTTCTGGCCGGGAGATTCATGAGTGATAACAATAATGCCCTTGTCGCGGGCTTTCTGCAGCACCGGTTCCAGCACCTTGGCGTCGTTGGGCACGACGCCGATCACCTTCACACCCTGCGCAATCAGATCCTCGATTGCCCGAACTTGAAGCGCCGGATCAGAACTTGTGGGACCGACCATAAAGGCGTCAACACCGATTTTGGCCCCGCGTTCCTTGATACCGGCATCCATGGCGTTGAACCAAGGAATACCGCCAATCTTGACGACGACACCGACTTTTGAAGTCTCTTGAGCGCTCACAGCAAAAGCACCAGCGATAGACAATGATGCGACAACTGCCGCGAATAAAATCTTCTTCATTTTTCCTCCTCCGGAATTCCCGCATGGGAATCGTTCAGCCAACCGTCACCGGCTCGCATTCGACCATTCAAACCCCAGACCCGATTGATAACCGTGCCTCCCCTGACCACCTCCTCAAGCGTCAACCATAAATTGCACAATCGATATTTCTTTTTTGCACAATCGATGGTGCAATAGATAATCATCAGTCTTTATCTTTCGTCAAGAGTTTTTTGGCGCTAGTAGTGCAGCAGGAGAATTCGATGCGGAATCAGACCAAAAAGAAGGCCACCATTTATGATCTCTCGGTGCTTTCCGGCAGTTCGCCATCCACAGTCAGCGCGGTACTGAACGGCACGTGGCAAAAACGCCGCATCAAACAAAGCACGGCAGAACATATTCGGGGATTGGCGGAAGAACACCAATACACAGCTAATCTTCAGGCGAGAGGTTTGCGGCGGTCGCGCTCAGGTCTGGTCGGGCTGTTGCTGCCCATTCACGACAATCGCTATTTTTCGTCGATGGCACAAACGTTCGAAGCACATGTGCGCAGCCGGGGACAATGCCCCGTGGTTGTCAGCGCACGGCGTGATCCGGAAGAGGAACGTCAGACGGTCGAAGCCCTGATTGCCTATTCCATTGATGAACTGATCATAGCAGGCGCGACTGACCCGGATGGTGTCCATGCCGTCTGCGAGGCTGCGGGGTTGAAACACGTTAATATCGATCTGCCGGGCAGCAAGGTCCCGTCCGTCATCAGCGATAATTATGAAGGCGCACGACTTCTCACTAAAGCACTTATAGACCATGTCGATCCGGCTCGCCCGCTGCTGTCGTCCGAACTCTATCTCTTTGGCGGCCGTAATGACTTTGCAAGCCAGGAACGTATTCGCGGTTTCCGCGCGATCAAGCAGGAAATGATGGGAGCAGATCCCTTGGATTGCATACAGCCGACAGGCTACTCTCCCGCCAAAACCGCAAAGGCCTTTGAGGCCTTCTATGAAAACGAAGGCAAACTGCCCCGGGCTTTGTTCATCAATTCCTCCATCAACTTTGAAGGCCTCTTGCGTTTCCTCGGGCATCACCCGCACGAGACATTTTCCGATATTGTGGTTGGTTGCTATGACTATGATCCCTTTGGATCATTCCTGCCTTTTCCTGTCTTCATGATCCGGCAGGACGTCGAAGGGATGATCACCAAAGCCTTCAGTCTTCTCAGCGAAGGTCGTCAGGCACCCCACGTCCATCTCGTTGAGCCGATGCTGGTTCCTCCCCGTACGGCCCTGATCGGCCCGCTGGATGCGATCAAAGACATTGAGTGAACAGGAGGTGTCAAGTAAACGACGCCAATTTTCACGCGCAATGCTATTCTTGGAAACCTAACACTGCAGAAATACCGAAGAGATTTGGACAGACATTTCTTTATATGCCGACAACAGCCAGTTTTAAGTATTCACAACTTGAGACAAAAATCTGTAACGGCTCATAGCTCTTTTAACGTGACCGCGCACCGATGAACCCCTTGAAAACAAGCAACACATATCCTTTCAAATGCTACAACTTGACGACGGTATCTAACGATTAGAAACACACTCCTGATCGCCATGCGGATTTAGACATTTTGGGAGGCATGATGCTGAAGAACGTTGTGTTAGGAAAATAGCAAAAGAGTATCGAATATTGAAAGTTGCTTTGATCTTTACGGTGATGGTGATGGCGAGCCTGACGGTTCCAGTTTCACCGCTGTTTGCCATAACTCTTTCGCGTGATCAGGCTGCGCGGGAGGTCGACCGTCTGCTGCAAAAACGCTCTGGCGACGCATCGCGACATGTCAGACTCACCGAGGTCTTGGGCTGTCTGCCGGCGTTCGGCGAGCCGGACACTGTCTGGGTCTGCCCGGTCATGGTCGACGACTTTGAACATCCTTTGGAATTCACCTTCGTCGATACTGACGGCATCGTGACAGCACGCGAAAATGACGCGGAAGCAGCCTGCCCCTCATTACAGGTCGCGGAAAAAGCCTTGAGACAAATCGAAAACGATCCAGCGCTTCGCGTGCGAAGCGAAATTGATGATGGCAAAGGCCTGTTTACCAGCGGTCGTGGAATATTACGCGACGAGAAGGGCAGCTATCGACTCATGTGCCGATATGAAATCGCCAACGCCGTTTTCGATGACCGGCTCTACTTGACCTATGTATGGTACGGGCCGACCGGTTATATCATCGACACAGATGTCGAGCGGTGGTGAACAGGCCGTTGCGACTGGCTACCAACGAACAATGGTACGTTGTTAATCCTCGACCTGGCTGCCATGTACGATAAGTTGGCACTTCGGCATCGCTCCGACGCCACGGTACGTCGTGAGGGGTCCAGATGTCGAACATGGCTTGAGCCCGGGATCCGCATCAAGTGTTGCCACGCGCAGTATGACGTCCAGTTTAGCAATGCGCTCAGCCACGACATGCGACCCGCAGAGCGAGCAGAAACGGCGAAACTTTCCAGGTGAGGATTCGTATGCCCGCCAACAGCTCTTCGCCGGCTATCCAGCGGAAATGCTCTCGCAGCACACCTGCTGTAGTTGCGAAGGCGCTCGCACGTGCCTTGCGGCATGTGGCGCAATGACAGTGCGCAATTGGCGTGTCGATGCTGTCAATTTCATAGCAAACAGCACCACACAGGCAACTTCCCTCAAACGACATCGGAATCTCGAAGTCGTTGAGTTATTGCGGCATTAGAAGGGTACGCCAAGTTTGGGGGAGCATCTGCCTGATCTTAAACTAAAATCACGCAACGGGTTTATGGAACTAACAATGAGCGCTGGAATTCAGTCTATGAGAAGTGTTTCAACGTTGGCAATTTAGGGTCGACGGTCGGTAAGCCCGCTCTTGAGAGCTCTCGTTCATCGCGCATTTGTTATCAAGCGACGATTT